TAGCTCCCTCAGACACCTAACTCATTGTCTCTAGTTTTCTGTATTTTTTTTTTAAAACATTACACAGACATATCCCTGCATACACACAAGCTTATTGCAGATCTGTAGGAATCCTCTGTTCCCCCGCCATCTACAGCACCCCCCCCCAGGCCAGTATGAAGATGTATTTTTGCTCTCTCCAGGGAGTTAATCCCTATGGATGTCTTTGCACCTGTGTGATATTCAGACCCCGCTCCCCCAAACCTGGTAACTTTCCTCCCTTCTCCCCAGTCCAGCTACATGTTTGTCCCACGTGTCTGAAGCTTAATTGCAATGAACTTCATTCTGGGCAGAGCCCACAAGCCCAGGGAGTTGATGTTCCCCCCTCTCCTCCCCCAAGTACCACTTGGCAACTTGCAGATGAGTCTCACTCCCCATTCCTCTCTAAGCTGGTCTGCACAAACCCGTGGCTTTAAGGTTCCACACTGTGGTCCCCTGCCTGGATTCTCTGTTATGCTCTGGCTTCTAATTCACTTAATTCCACAAACTCATCTGGGGGTCTTATGACTAGGTTACAAAGGAAAGGAGAATAATGAGAAAAATGTCCTAATATATAGCACATACTCTTATATGCTTCCCAGAAACTAAATATTGGAGCATGGGGAACATGAAGTGGGGTGGGATGAGGGTCCAAATAAAGCAATCTGTAGCCTCCTATTTTCAGTCACCTTTACGGGGGACAAATCTTTCAAACCCAATGGCAGGATGGGTTTGCCTGGCCTCTGCGGGAAAGTCGGTGAGTCTCTGGCCTTTGCATCCTACAGCACTGGGCCTTGGCTCATCCTTGAATCTACTATTTTACTCTTTGTCCTTTATTTTTTTTCTTCTTTTCCATCTCACTTATTCTTCCTCTCCCTAAAGCTCTCACTGAAGTCACAACTACTGCCTTTGAATGTCCTTAACTCCCCTCTCCACATCCCTCTTCTGCATCCAGGGTAAGGCTATCAGCAGCTATAGCCAACCAACCATGATGAAGACAAAGGAGTTTTCAGCACCTCTCCTGCGAGGACAGCTACTGTGCCCTGGGCCAGGGTTTGGGGGTAAGGGTGATACCCTCTAGCACCAGACAGGAGCAGGTAGGGAAGTTTGTTAAAAAAACAGGGATTTTCCCTTCTCTTTACCTCCCCAATAAAGAGCTCTGGTGGTACAGTGGTTAAGGCATTCAGCTGCTAAGAAAAGGTCAGCAGTTTGAATCTACCAGCCACTTCATGGGAGAAAGATAAGGCAGTCTGTTTCTGTAAAGACTGACAGCCTTGGAAACCCTATGGTGCAATTCTACTCTGTCCTATAGGGTCGTTATGAGTCAGAATTGATTCGATGGCAGTGGGTTTGGTTTGCTTTGGTTATCTCCCCAGCCTCATTTATGCAATTTTAGTCTATATTGGGCCGTAATCTTGCAGAGAAATGGCCCATTAAGTCATGTGGGGCCACAGCTTAAGAAAGAGAAGATGAGGAGGGGAGGAGGCAGTGGAGAGAACAGGATTCAACAGTGCAGACCCAGAGGGAGAGAGAGCTGCAACAGCTATTGGTTCAGAGATTTGTCAGGGTGACCCAAGCTCTGCAAGAACTCTCTTTCTGGTTCTTCTGCATGCAGCCTCACTTCATTATGCACACAGCCACACCCTACAGGCCCCACTCACCCCACCTCTTTAGAAAGGGGGTAAAAGGCTGCCAGAAAAGGACCCCAGGGTATGCTCATACAAACATAACAAATGGAGTGACTTTGCAACACACATCAAAATGTTATCATTACTACTGTATTAAGTTACAATGTTTCAGTGTATCTTGAAGTGTTTTTTTCTTAAATGGTTTTAATGCATAGAAAAGTATATGATATATTAAGACAAACATTTGACTGACTGATGTTAGATGCGTAACTGTTCCAACTTACATACAAATTTGACTTAAAGGCAGACTTAGATACAGAACTCATCTGTAATTCAGGGCTGCCTATAATTCATATACTGTGCAATTCACCCATTAAAAGTATACAGTTTAATAGCCTTTAGTCAATATTTCCATCATTCAAACCAAAAAGAAACCCTTAATCCATTAGCACCCCCACCCTGCCCTAGGTAACCTTAGCATAATTTAAACGATACTCCCAAATTATAAAAATCTAGTCATATACACAAAAAACTGAACTGTTTTAAAATAATAATGTCAGTATTTCACATCTATTAACACAATAATCACCAAAGGGATTGTAACAGGAACAAACTGTTACGATGTGTTAGATGAAAAGAATTCAACATTCCTTCTATTTTACCATTTCAATTATGAAACTTTTAAAATAATACAAGTCTATAAGCAAAAGCTTAGAGGAATAAAAAATAAGATTATGAGAGTGGTGCACTTATAAGTGGTTAATTTTGTTAAAATTATTTTAAATATAAGTTAGAATTAAATTGAATGCTGAGAAGACTAGCTATCTGATTCTCCAATTATCAAAAGTTTACAATCTGGGCAGCTTAAATTTTAATTATTTAAATATTTCTATGTAATTCCATGGGAACATTCTAACATATAACCTAAAAGACTAATTTATCAAGGTCAAGTAATATAGCCTTGGGGTATAGTTCAAATTATAAAATACAAAGAGCAAATGAAGGAGCATACAAAAAAACAAGTTGTTCTGTTAATTAGCAAATTATTGTCCCTTGATCTAAAACATAATGTAATTTAGTCTTCTACAGTAATATATATATAAGGAAACTATTAAAACAATAGCCAAATTAAAAATAATCTTACAGGTAAAAATATTCTTAACTGAAGGTTGGGCAATCTATTTCTGTAGTGATACTGCCTTAGAAACCCAAGGAGGGATCACTATGAGTTGGATCCAACTTGACAGCAGTGGGTTTGATTTTGGTTTTATATTAACCAGTTACTGCCGAACTATTTAGCTCTGAAGAAGTCTCTTCTCTTACAATGTATTTATTAGCCACAAAAGTACTTATAGGTGAAAAAAACGTTTCCCAACTATAAAAACTTACTTGACTGCTGGTCCCTTGTGGTAACTCTTTGGAAGCCTGTAGTGTTTGAAATTTGATGTTCCATATGGAGAGGCATTCTGTAAAATAAGATACAAATGTAGGAGTCCCAGGTATGAAGATATGATGTTGTGGAAAAGTCACAGAAAAATCCACAAGTCTTGGATTATTATGAATAAAAATTAGCAAGTGATTGCCACAGAGGTTCAAAGAATGAGAGCTCACTGCAGGCTGAAATATCAGGCAAAGTTTTAGAGAAGGTGAACTCTGAGCATGTCTTAAACCTCCTTGGGTTTCTGAGGCAGTATCACTACGGAAGTAGATTGCCCAGTCTTCCTTCCATGGAGTGGCTGGTGGGTTTGAACCCAAGCTTCTGGTTAGCAGTTAAATGCCTTAGGCAATACACCATCAGAGCTCTTTATTAGGAATTCTAGGAGCTAGTTGTTGTTGTTGTTGTTGTTATGTGCCTTCGAGTCGGCCCCGACTCATAGCGACCCCTCCTTGGGTTTCCGAGGCAGTATCACTACGGAAGTAGGATTGCCCAACCTTCCTTCCGAAGGAGCTAGTAGGAGCATTAAATAATACATAATATATATATAATGACATTTAACTTTTATTATGTCATTATATATATATTATGTATTATTTAAGGAGCTAGTAGGAGCATTAAATAATACATAATATATATATAATGACATAATAAAAGTTAAATGCCTGGCACATGATAGTTACCCTATAACTAACTAATAGTTAATGGGTTTGGCTGCTAACCAAAAGGTTAAAAAGACTTAGTGAGCTAATTCCAAAAAAATAAGTCATTAAAAATCTTACGGAGCACAGGTCTGCTCTAGCACACAAGGGGTTGTCATGAGCCTAGACTGACTCGACAGTAACTGGTTTAACTGGCTAGTATCTTAATTATAAGCAGGAAAAACAAACTACACAGGAGAGGATGGGCACAGCAAGCTTGTAGTCAACAGAAGTCTGGCCTGAATAAAGCAGAGGATTCTTGCTCAGAAACTGGGAGGTTAGAAAAGGTAGATGGGGTCTAGACTATAGAGGAACCTGAATGCTACACAGTAGACTTTGAATTTTATGTGCAGGCTGGGAGTCCCACTGGCAAGGAGCAACTGTGTTCTTCACGATATACTACAGCTCTATGTATATGTGTGTGTGTCTGTGTGTGTAGTGGTGGTGGTAATGAGAAGACCGCTCAGAAGTCATAGAGACACAAGGATACTACAATTTCTGGCATGTCAAGCTGTCTAAGTGCAGTGGGTTTACATGCTGTGAGATGCCACCATGCTACGAATTCAATCCTTTACCACAAAGCTCATCAACATTTCAAATATGGACTGACACAGGTATTAAAACATTGTTTTAGAAAGATAAAAATCAAAGGTATAAAAATAACTGAAGTGAAAAAGAAGGAGACCTGGTGGCATTGTGTAGTAGTTAAAGCATTTGGCTGCTATGCAAAAGGTTGGTGGTTCAAATCCACCAGCCACTCCGCAGGAGAAAGATGAGGCAGTCTGCTTCTGTAAAGATTACAGAAACCCTATGGGGCAGTCCTACTCTGTCCTACAAGGTTGCTAGGAGTCAGAATTTACTCAAGGGTAATAGGATTGGTTTTAGCTATAGTGACAAAGAGAATAAAGAGAATTACAGTGACAATAAAGATGAAAAAGAAGACTACAAGGTATACACTTTGAAGCAAAAATCCAGAGGACTTCTTAACTGACTGGACTTCAGTTACCTGTAGAAGCAGAGAGTGGAGTTCCCAGGACTGCTATGTGATCTTGATTCAGGACACTGAGTACAGCACCGTTTCGAGCAGTACTTGACACAACTGCCTTGAGCAACAGTGACCGAACAACCACCTGGTCTTGGTCTGGATCACTTGGATGTGTTGGTATCAGGGTTTCATAGATACATCCGTCAGAGCCTGTTGGAAATAAGTATTTGTTGTTATTGGGCAAAAGACAGTTCTATCTCTATTATGGTACTATAGGTTAAATGCAGTAGGTTGTTTATAATTGATAATGGATTCAAACAGAAAAATAAACAAATGTAACCTCATAATAACATCACTTGCTTTCCCTTAAAGAATATACAATGAACTTAAAATGGAGGGAGGAGTACTATTAATAAAAATCTCAGCAAGGAACATTATAACAGCCTGGGGGGGAGGGGCTATACATACCCATAATTTAAAATACTGAGAGGGGACTGCCAGTAATACAGAAAATTAGTCACTAAAAAGGACAGATCTCCCAGTAGAAGCTGACGAGCATTCTATACTTGACAGTTCTTGTTACTCAGTCACCCTGAAGATCATATGAAGTTGCTCTTTCATAGGCTGATTGAATTCTGGCACCTTCATGTGATTCTGTTACATGAAGATTCCCAGGACCCTTTGGTTCAGACTCCCTTACTCCAATATTCATCAGGCCAAAACATTACTAGCAAACTGCTATTCAGTAGTAAGTTTGTCCTACCAGTTCAAGAAAGCCAGTCTTTTTTTCTAAATTAAATTGTGCTTTGGGCACAAATTTACAAAGCAAATTTAATTTACATTCAATAGTTCATGCACATTTGATTTCACCACTCTGATTACCATCCCCTTTTTTACCATGAAAAACTCTCCTCCCCCTTTATCTACCTCCTCCCTGTGCCCTTCTCAATTATGCATTTCTGTCTGTTCAGTTTTCTGTCTATGTGAATGCTGCCCCTCTGGTGTCTCGTGGCTGACTGATCTAAGGGGTACATCTCCGTAGGGTAGGTGGGTGCATTGCCCTGGGATAGGTGTTCTATGTGTAGGTCTTTCCACTGTTGGGCTGAGAGCTAATCCATGGAAGTGAGTCCACTTCTAGGCCCAAGGGATAACCCAGGGCCACAATCTCAGGGGTTCCACCAGTCTCTGGTGGAATTCCAACTAGGAATTCTGGTCATTTTTATGCTTTTGAATTTTGTTCCACATTTTTCCTCCCACTCTACCCAGAATCTCATTTTGATCCCTTTCCGAGCAGTTGGCATTGGTAGCTGGGCACCATCTAGTTCTTCTGGTCTTGGAGTTGTGAAGACTGAGGTCCTTGTGGTCCATCTTATCCTTGGACTAATTGTTTCCAAATGCCTTTGATTTTCTTCACTCTTCTTTGCTCCAGACAAGAGACCAATAGTTGCATCTTAGATGGCTGCTCAAAAGCTTTTAAGACCCCAGTCACTATTCACCAAAGTAGGTTGTAGAGTAAGACTTTTATGTCCTATGTTGTGCCAAATGAGCATGATGTGCCCCAAGACTATGGTCCCAAGGCCGCAGGCCTGGTGATTTTCTCTCAAGGAGTTTGGTCATCTCTGAGAAGTTACTGCAACTCTGTCTTCTGTTGCTTCTGTAATGTACATGGCTAATTTTGTAGCACAAGTGCATATGTAAGATCATCTTCAGCCAAATCTATCCTAGGTTATATTCCTGTTCACCAACCCCTACCTGATCTTCTCACCTGTCTACGCATTTATCCGTAGCCTGGAATTTGGTGCTGGTGGTAATGCAGTATTGTGTGTATTTGCCTCTGTTGTCTATATCTTACATGCACGTTTCGATGTCCTTCCTTTCCCCAGTGTCATCATGCTGGTCACAGACTCTTTCAATACTGTCCCACCCCTCACCCAAATCAAGAAAGCCAGTCTTTCTCAAGCAAAGGCAAAGTGCATTCTAATGGCTTTCTAGGTATGATAAACGATGAGAGCTTTTTTAACAGCCATCACAAACATCTCAAATTTTAAAACTTCACGAAGAACTTTACCTGTGATAATATGGAAGTTTCCTAAACATTGATTTTTTTTCCCCTCCTTCCTTATCCTTCTTAAAACAACTTCAAAAGAAGCTATGAATGGTGAGGAGAAAAAGATACCACAAAAAGGCCTTTTTTTTTTTTGCCCTAGAGGCTTTCAAGACTGGGGTTTAGACCATTACATAGAGGTCCGAGGCAACAAAAAATCTATAAAATGCCAGCTGGCATAGGTCAGGGCTGCTGCTAGTCCACCCCAGCTCATCTTTCTCAGTCACTGTTCAGAGAAAGGCACATCAACTCTTAAGGTTGGAAAGAGAAAGACAGGCGTCATTTAATGCCAATCTCAGATATTTTACACCAACAAAAAAATTGGGCTTTAATTAAAAGTCACAAAAAAGATTAGGCTTACTGGTATGACAGAGACTAATGGAACCCCTGAGTCTATGGCCTTTAGGCATCCTTCAAGCCTGGAACTGAATATAACCCCATGGTTCAACTTTCAGCCAAAGGACAGACAGAACTACAAGGTGAACAATAACACCAGGAGGTACGTGCTCATTGGAACAATCAACCATACGAGAGCAAAAGGGCAGCATTTGCCCAGGGATAAGGCTCAGATGGCAGGAAGGGACAGGAAAAGATGAACAGAAAACACAGGGAGGAAGTGGAAAGAGTGTTGTTTACATCATAGGGATTGCAATCAATGTCATGAACAAAATGTGTATGAATTATAGATCAGAAGACCAATTTGCTCTATAAACTTGCACCCAAATCACAATAAAAAGTTAAGCCTCAGTTTTATCACAATAAAGATCAAAGATCAATTTATTTTTTATTGGTGTTATATTATTATTTACTCCTTATGGTAAACGTTAATGATGTAAGAGTTATAATAGTAACGTTTAAAACCTATGTTCCACCTTAAATGCTTCAAACACAGCACCATCTGCTAAGAAGCACAGACCTAATGTTCCTGCAAACATGGCAAGGCACAAAAAGTGAAGGAGAAATGTGAGGAAGCATGAAAAGGAAAGTGCTACCACAGAAAACTGCAAAACCCTAAGACTCTGACTCCAAAGTACACGCTACCACATAGTATCCCATGATATACAATCTCTGAAAACTTGAAAGAAAAAATATTACTTAATGATATCAAAGAGATGAACTTCCGATCCACAGATGCTGTAAAACTCTGTATGACAGATTTTTCTTCTCGTCCAGGTAAGAGTGTGTATTTGCTTAAGATACGTGAGTTAAACTTTTGTACATAAGCAAAATAAGTTCCATGCTGCAAAAAAAAAAAAA